CCCCCTGCCGTTAAAACTCTGCCGGCGAAAAGAACGACAAAGACAGAAAGAAAAGGAAGAAAATGAAACAATGAAACTGAGAAAAATGGAAGGAAGACCAAGAAAGGCAGCGAGAAGAATGAAAGAGAAATAAAGGGAGAAAGAAAGACAGAAAAATGAGAGCAGAAGAGCGAGGAAGAAAAAGAAAGACAAAATGAATTTTTGAAAGAAAGAGGGGAAAGAGAAAATCAAAGGAAAGACAAAGAAATAAAAAAGGAAAGTCTGAGCGAAATAAAAGTGGAAGATAGCAAGCAAAAATAGAACATGCGCGGAAGAAAAAAATGGAAAAAAAAAGAACAGGAGGCATGAGAGAAAAAGAGAAAGAACGAAACAAAAGAAAAACCAAGATTAAAAAAAAATGGAAAGACAAAAAGGGAGACTGAATGAGAAGCGGAAACCAAAAAGAGAGAAAAGAAAAAAAGGATCGCAGAAAAAAGTGAAAGTGTGAGAGAAAAAGGCAAACCAAAAGACGAGCGAGGGTAGGGAAGAGAAAAAAAAACGAAGAAACAAGAGGAAGAAGAAAAAATTTGAAGAATGATTGATGAAAAACAAAAAGAAAGCGGAAGGAACAGTGAAAAACAAAACAAAAAGTGAAGAGACACAATGAAAAGAATAGAAACAAAAAAGACAGACAGAAGCTGAAATATACATTTTTGGGGGGCCAAAGGGAAAAATAAAATAAAACGTCAGAAATACTGAGGGGAAATTTTGACGATTGAAATTTGCTTCTGTTGCGTCTTAAAAGTCAGCAGGCTGAAGTCTCGCGTGACTTCTGTGGCCAATCCGACCGAGTTCATTCGAATAGCACAATTTTTTTTTTTTCTTGTTTGTTTTTTTTTTGGGGGGGGGGCAACAAATTGTGCGTGGCACTCGCCGACTTTGTCAAGTGTGACGACTGGAAGGAAATTTGAGTACAAAAGGGAGTCGTAACAATTTCAAAAGAAATGAATACAAGTCCAAATAATGTTCCTTGAAAGTGCTGCCCTGAATGCTGATTGGTCCTTTTTCATCTTTGATGTTGCAGGCTAGCCTCTACAGAGGAGGCTACAGTCGCTTCGCGCCCTACTAAAACCACCAAACAACACATGCACACACACCACCAAAAGCAAACCCCCCCCAAAAAAAGAACTCTTGAAAAAAAAATAATAATAATCCCCCCCCAAAAAAGCCAATCAAGAAGTCCCCCCCAGTGAGGAGACAAAGCTCCTCCTCCAGCTGACTTTTCTACCGCCGCCTTTTCCACACACTCTTGTATCCTTCATTCTTTTTTTGCCGTTGCTTATTTATTTATTGATTGATTTATTGCTCTGTTTTTGTTGTCTTGATGATTGAATTGTAGTCTTGACAACATTGTGTGTATATAAATGCCCAGACAGTTTTCTGATTTCAACAATGTCTATTGAAACACACGTTTTGTTTTTTTTGTTTTTGTTTTTTTTGGAGGGTCATTTTTTGACCGGATATGCAAATCTGAGACGTCGAATGGGCTGACTCCATTTTTGGACATTTGTGATTTCAAGCAATTTTGGAGCAATTTTTAGTCCAACCCTGGTGGGCACGTTGGTGACCTCATGCTCCGAATCTCACATTCTTGGATGGTTGTGGTGTTAGCTGAAAACTTGTTTGGCCCAGTGTTGCACTCACAAATCAAGGACTGCCCCCTGTTGGTCAAAATTGCAACTTGTATTCACTTGAAATCGCAAGCATGCAGTTAGCCCACTCGATTTGTCAGTGGCTCACACACACACAGACATACACGCTGATTTATGAGAGTGTTCCATAGCCTTGATAAGCTGAGAACATTTCTGAACCCAGCTTCAATATTTATATGTATTAATTATATATATATATATAAAACATGCAAAAATGTACTGCAATGTAGCAGCAAATGTACATAAACGTGTTCAAATGTACAAGCACTAACATGTTTTCTATATGTATTCCGATATGAAGTGTGCTTACAATGTTTGAGGACGATGTGGTCTTATTTTAAAGGTTCTAAAAAGACTGTGACCTTATTAATATTATCAATATCATGTGACATAAAGTAGCTTGATGTGTGTTTCGAATAAAGCAATTAGAACGGCCGGTTGGAGGTTTTAAAACATCTTGTAAATTTGTTTGTTGCTGTAAATTGATGGTAATGCTGCTCATAGGCAGGGTTGACATCAGTGCTTGGATTTTTTTTTTTCTTGTACTTTTTTTCCCCCCACTCGTCAACTGGGTTTGTATCTGTGAAATTCACTGTGTGCCATTTGTTTTGAGATACGAAAGATTATCTGTCATTTCGTCTCAAAAATCTCTCAAACGTGCTTTTAAGTGTTAGCGGCTCGTTGAGCACACTGGCCAACGGCAGAACCCAGGGTTCTTTTTTGTTTTTGGTCATTTTTTATATCCATCCGCGTTCTGTTATATAGCAGCTAGCCGGCGCTAAGCTAAGTGAACCGATCTCTTGATTTTTTTTTTTTTTAAATCAATTGAAGATGAAGGGTGACTGAACGTCATCAGTACCTAACCCTAACTGATTGGCACTTTTTAGAGCTTAGCGGGCTAACATTGCACATTATGTCGAGGTCACTTCCATTGGCCAGTGACGTCAGTATGACGGGCTGTTGACATCATCGTCTAATTTTCAGTTGGGTCTTTTTTTTTTCCTTCGAAAATATTTGAATGAATCTTTAAAAAATAAAAACAGAAATACAACTTGTTTTTCTTAAATATAAATGTATGTATGTGTGTGTAGCATGTGATATTTTAGAAAATTATCGCCCCCAAAAAAGTTCCCTCCTAAATATAAAGACAAGTTCCCCTTCAAAAAACACTTATATATCATAAAAAAAACATACTTTTACCTCCACGCATTCTGACATTAATCCTCAAAATCTCCATTTTTTTTTTAAATCAAATATCTTGAAATTTGATGAAAAAAAATACCCCGTGTGTGGTGTGTGCAGTAAATACGAAACGTCGGGAAGAGGAAGCAGCGCTCGGCACGGTTGGACGTCGCAGACAAGAGGAGGCGGAGCAACTTTTGCGTAAGGATGGGAGGGAGGCGAACAAACCGGCGGCGGTATCGACGGCCACCTCCCCCACCCACCACGGACCGACCGTCTTTTCCGAGGCGGCCGGCCGGCCGGCCAGGAAGAAACAGACAAAGAAAAGCGTTTGGATGAGTGGCGTCCCGTTACTGAAAAACATTTTATTTTTCTATACTTTTGTCACGTGTGTGTATAAAGGCGTATAATATATATACATATGTACAAATATGTCTTTTTATGTTTTGCGGGGGAGTTCAGAACAGGCGGCCGGATGCGGCGGAGGAGGGAGAACCTGCGCCTCCTCTTCTCTTCCTCCTCCTCCACCTCCTTTAATTCCTTCTTCCCCGCGGACGCTGTCGTGATGTCACTTCCTGTCGGCAGCACCCGTCCCCCCCGCCCCCACACACCCTTTGGTTTACAGCGCCCCCGGGTGGCGGAAGTTCATCAAGGACTGGAAAATCAGTCTTCGGCGAGTCGGGAGGTTGGCGGACGTACGTCGAGACTTCCAAGGGGACATCTCCACTGGCGGCGTCCATCTGACGAGGGCAAAATTAAGCTAGAGGCTGCGTCCACACGTACGCGCAGAAATTAGACCAAGTGCTCATTTTTACATCCTTTCCTACACACGCAATTTATTATTTTTTTGCCTTAAAAAAGTCCACCTTAATTCGCATTTGTTAATTTTTCCGAGAATTTTTAAAAAATTATTTATTCAAAATAAATCAAAAATAAAGTGAAAGAGTGAGTTTTTCATACAATAAATATTATGTAATTGTCGTGACTAATTCTTTAATTTTGGTGGGTTAAGTGGGTTAATCGTAAGAAATCCGATTTTCTTTAAAGAAAAATTTTATTTTTTTTTAATGCAGATTTAGTCTTGGGGAAAAAAAATCCAATTTTTAAAGATTTTTTTTGGTCAAGGATATAAGATTTGTCAAACTCCTGAAATTTATTTTATTGGGGAATTTTTTTTTTCCTTTTCTTGAAGCGACACAACTTTTTTGTTGTCTTGAATGACTACACTTTATTTGCTTAATATTACAAAAAATGCTTTAATTCACAGAGAAAAAAATCCAAGAAATTCCTGTTGTAAAAATTTTGCTAAATACTTAAGATTTTTTTCTGAAAAAATTATTTTTTGTTTATTAAATGAAACTACAACTCTATTATAAAATAATTGTTTAAAAAAAAGTTTATTTCTTGAAACTTTTTTTCAAGATTTTGTGGGGGGGCAGAAATACTTTTGAGAAAAAAAAATCTTGACAAAGTTGAATTTTTGGGGTGAAAACTACTCTTTTTAAAAAATAATGACCATCCCTAAGCTGTACAACTTTGTTTATAAAAACATCTATACACGTGTAATTTCTCAAAAATATGCAAATTTACTAACTGTACATCTTTTTTCCTTAGCAAAAAAATAAAATACAAATTTTACCCTTCATTTATTTTTTAACCAGTGTACTCCTGGTGTGTGTAATTTGACTTTTTTTTTTTTGTTAGTTTTGTTTTGTTTTTTTTGTGACGCTCGAAAGATTTGTGGCTTGTAAAATTATTGGACGCGTACATGTGGACGTAGCCCCCGCCAGTGGCGATTTGCGTGCTTATGTTCAGTGTTTTTCGGGGGGTCTTCAGTTGGTTTTTTTTGTTTGTTTTTTTTTTTTTTTAGCGGCGGGTGAA